CCCCTTTCTACCCACAATACTAGTCGTACGGAGAAACAGATGACGCGAAATATAAGTATGGATCGAAAAAAAATAAAATTAATACGTCCTTATAAGGCCTCTTTTTCAATACTTATATAGAGGTAGAAGATAGAGCGGCAGCGGAGAATAGTCTATTATCTTAAGCTTTGATGATTTTAGAGCGTTGGCAGGATTTGAATAGTCCGAATTCGAATCCGAGTCGCAGACCCTAGCGATTCAACTTCGAATCCTAAATAAAGTCATTGGGGGCCTAGATAGAGCACTCTGATTAGTTAAACTTGGCGGAACAACATTATTCGGAGCGCCTGTTAGGCCGTGATCTTGCCAATGCTTCATACATCGCGACACCTCGGGTGTCGGCGCCAGGAGCCGATTGCGATCAGCTGTAATCGTTCTCTTTGACTGGGAAAGACCCTTTCTAGTTCTGTACACACCTCAGGCACAGAGAGAGTGTCTAACGCCCCGAAGTCAAGGCCAGAACTGTTAGATGTAGTAGCAAACAGCGTACGGAGGTGTCAATTCACTTGATTGAGTTACCCCTATCAAGAGGAGCATTTGCTCATACTAATAGCTATAGAAGTGCATTACTGTAACAGCTCAGAAACAGCATTTGGCGTTCAATTCGTATAGCAATGCTCACTGCCATAAATAACAGGGCGTAGCAGTTACAAGAGCGTTTCGTGCGTTTTGCATGCGGGGACCCTTGTACCATCATGCTAATACGTAACAGATACGTATCATATACGCAGGGATTCTGACAAGAACAGTCGCGTAGCATCCACCAACGGAATAGATTCTGAGCCGTCCAATCGATCACAATTGACGCTACTAAAGCTGCTCCAACAACTAAGAATTGCTCTCGACCCAAAAGAGCGCGAAATCAAAACTGGAAAGTCCAAGAAAATCAAGCGCAACTCAGGTATTCAAAGTACTTTTCTTGTGCCCTGTTACTCCTACGGTATTGATACCCAATGAACGTTCACAAGTTATCGGAAATGACACATCGTGTCAAACGGCTGGAGCGCTCCTTGGTCGCGTTTCGCCTGCGTTTTGATTGGTCAATTTCTGCTGCAATTTCGCGGCTAATTTTGCTGTGCCGCACGGCAAATTTTGTACTTATTTCTGCGCCCTGCGCAGCTTTTTTGAACGAACAGAGCCATTTCTTCCTCCTGCTCCACACATCGCAATCAAAACAGTGACGCCCACCAAATCGCCAAAACAACTCTCAAGTAACTAGCATAAAGATTCTAGCATAGATAGGAGGAGAAAAAACTGCCGAGCAGCAGCAAGAGATAATCTAGAAGGTAGTGCCAAGCAGAGCTAACGTATCCCACGTGACACCGTAATTGGAACCGGGGAAAAATTATATTGTGTCCGACTATACGGGTATTTTGATGAAAGGATAAATTCTTGGCGGACTCTCTTTGTGATATGAAAATCCTTGACGGTCCTCCTTAACCAAAACATTGCTTACTAACATTTGTCCCCATTTGACAAATGAGGCAACCAAATCAAATCAAATGAGCGTTATGCTTTGGTTGATTTGATTTGATGGATACACTGCTGCTGTAGGTCCATGGCAGGTGAAGAAGCACAGTCAGGGAGGAATGGATGTTGTAGGCAGCGCCGGGCCCCCTTCAGTGTTATCACTCATGTCAACCCGTGTTGAACAATTTGTGCAGCCCGTAAGTCGAAATATTTCAGCTCGCCTCCCATTCCGCGCATCTCTCACCTTTTAAAACCAGCATACAACAATATTTTTCACTTTCACATATGCCATGGCTTCTCATTAAGATTTCAAGAACGCTTTCTCACCTGTCTATCAAGGCAATCAATCAAAGAACAAGGCAAGAATTGCGAGAGGATTTGCCGCAGGTAAGCGATATCTCTGAACCTGCTCACATATATCCCTTATCCTTTCGAGTCTAGATCAGGACGAATTTGCAGCAGCACTAGCAGAGGTGACGCACGACCTAGACCGAATGTCTTTATGATGATACAACTGACAGAGAGTATTTGGTGCTTGAGAATACATGCGGTGGCTTATCATTATGATGACAAAAGGTGATCAAAAGATCTTCTACAGCACCGAAAGCAGATATTTTCAATGGCAGCAATCGATGAGCATGTGACTGTTTGAACACGCAGCATAATGTCCCCCCAGCACTCGTGGCTAGCAAAACAATGTATTCACGACAATGGCATACGAGAGACAGAAGAAGAAAATGCCATAGCCACCAAAGCTTCAGTCTCAGCCCCCCAGATATCCAGTGTAGTCACTGGCATCGAAAGGCTCTTCTAGGATCGAGCTCCCCGATCTCAGTTTCCTTGTTTCTTTCACCTTTCAGTTAGGACATATCTGCACGCAGGCCATGCATAGAAGGGTGACGTGAGCCTCACTGCACAGCTTCTGCGCCTCCGCCTTTTTGCAGGACCGGCCAGGTTGGCGCAAAACGAACTCTGCGGCAGCCTTGAGCCCCCAGCAAGATGTGGCTAATTGCTGGAATTTGTTCAGGTCGGTTATACGCACACAGTCGAGTGACTATATCGTGTTGAGTATGACAACAGTGGTGAGTGCCAATGCTAAGATGCCTTTCACGCATGTCGCAGAGTAATTGGAAGACTCTCCGCAAAGAGCAAAAGGCCCCCATGGCTAACATCTAGCTAGAACATCGGCATGCGCTGAATTGCCTTGCTTGCACGTTCGGAACGTAGAGTGGCAAGGCTTGCCATAGGTCCAATCTGCAGAGTCAGGGAAAGGCTCGCAGCAAGGCTTCGAAGTGATGAGAGTCAGCAGCAGGCTTCGAAGTGATGAGAGTCAGCAGCAGGCTTCGTCTTGTCGCAGCCTTGGAGTTCAATGCTCTAGAGAATATGCCGATGACATGCCGAGAAGTCGCCAATCTCAATAACTACTATCTGAGATGGCGTCCTTGCATTTAGTGCTTCTCCCTGCCAACTTACATGACTGGGATAGACTACACACTTTTGGGACCTACTCTTAGCTAGGGATCCTAGTAGTCTTCTGGAGTACACCATGATTGTATCAGTCACGAGCCAGAAATTAACTGTAAACATCTTTGGATGGGCGATCATTGACAACAGATTTGCTTTTGGCATTCACGTCAGAGTAGTCGGCATGATATTAATATACTAGTAGGCACTACACCTTTGGCTTCTGGGTTGCTAGAGAGGTCACAAAGCATGCGATCAAATCTTCCAAAGCCTGGCCCCCCTTCCCCACCTTCGTTGCTTCAATCTCACTCCACGATGACTTTGTACTAGTATCCTTGATTTGTCGTAGAACGAAAACTGCTCTGTCGATCTGGATTGCATTGTAGAGAATACAGAAAATGCGAGCCACCTTCGTTGCTCCGATGCCGCATGTCAAAGACCAGCAGCATCCAACCCCGGCAGTCTTCGCAGAACAGCCCTACAGTCGGCATTGCCGTGGCACCTTTGTCTACGTCTTCACATTAATGTATACACTCCCACGATCTATGTGCTCAGGGTGTAATCGTTAGAGAGATACTCAAGCTAGCCGCTCCAGCCTTCCAATGGCAATCATAGTGTCAGACAAAATATATGTTAGTGCAGCCATTAGAGCTGTAGTCCTTTTGGCTTGGTACATGGAAGTTGATGCAGCGTGGGCTCAGTGGTTGCTGGTGAGGGTGTGTGAGTTGACATTGGTAAGTAAGGATGCAAAGTTTTATAGGCAAGAGAAGATACCTCGCGGAAATTGAAGGCTGGAGAAGAACACAATCTTGGACATTCGGAACGGAAAAACTCTGTACCGAGCTGCCAGCCCCTGCGGTGGTAGATGTCACTTCACTGTTCAAAGCTTGCGCCATCGTCACCGAGTGTCTAGTAGTAACAAGAATGAAGCAACAATGGTGAGATTCTTTGGAAGTAATTATTCAGATTATAAGCCCCCCTGGTGCCCTCCTTGCCCAAAGATGCTCCTGGGAAATTTCGAGCCAGACTTCCATCTGACTTGATCCAGAGCGTCCGCCCAGACCCAATAAAAGCTCACAAAATCCAAAGTCAGCTGTCAGAGGGTATGAGCGCTCATTGGTTGGATTTTCTACGCGGAACCATGCGTTTCGCCTGCTTTTGATTGGTCATTTTCTACTGCAATTTCGCAGCTAATATCGCTGTGCCGTATGGCGAATTGTACTTATATCTGCGCGCGCTGCGCCCTTTTTGGAGAGAAAACAGAGCCGTTTTTTCATCTTGCTTGACATCAGCCTTCTCTGGGCATCTGAGGGTCGTCAGTAGTCTCAGAGCTTTTTTCTGTCATGGGCGAATATTAGACCCTTCCTTTTCCTTGTCTTCGCCTCGATGGACGGTACGGTCGGCTCTTTGCTTACTGAAGGTGAATCCAGGCTATTTGCATTGCTTATCCATCTTATGATCCTCTTTTTTCCTTAATGTCTAGCGTCTCCCGGGGCTGGCGCTTTCCGCAGCATATATGACAGCCGGCATTTCCATATGAGAAAGTGTCAGTGAGTTCAGGCGCAAATTTTGTAGAAGCTATGTTTTTTAGAGCTTTAATCTCCCAGTATGATGCTCTCACCGTTGCAAACTAGCTTTATGGTTTGCAGCCCATCATCAGCGGATCATCATCAGCGCCATAGGGTATCGAAGCTAACAGGGAGGAAGAACGCGACTGAATGGTTGTAGCTTGCGAATATCTCTCCTTAAGCTCTGTGCCCCTAGGACTCGGAGTGGCTGGTGAGAATTTGCAGAAATCCTTGATGACCCTCGGGGCCTTAAGATCTCCAATCATTCACCTCCTCACAGTCCTCCGCGAAGGTCTCGCAGGCAATAGCCGGAGCTTTGTGCGCCATGATGCGTCTCTATTTCTCTGTTGAGCATTACAATACTGTCAAGAGTGTCATCAGATTTTCAGTACCATCAGGGGCCATGACCCAATACCAGATACAAGGATGAGCCCGGTATGAAGCAGCCAGAAGTTGTATAATCTACCTTGCCGAAAACATAAGAATGGATTGATGTGGTGCTTCCGACATGCCTAGCGTCCGTGTTCACTATTAGAATCCATACGCTTTAGCTACCATGCCTGTCACTCGAACGCATCGAGAAATTATATGCTTACATGGATCCGGAAGAGTACAACACCGGCAAGTCAGGCATTGAAAATCGACACACGGTGCACCCCAGAAGGTAGGCAGTATTTTGCTTTCATCGGTCTTTTACCTATCTTCTAGTCACATCTCAGGCAGCAATTTTCTCAAGAATATCTAATGACAGTAGCAACTCTGGCAGAACGAACAAAAACTCCTTCTGCTGAGTTTTTGTCGAAGCCAGCATTCACTTCCAGAAAAAAAGCTTAACGACCAGTGAGCTGACTTGACCCACGAAGGTGTCTCTAATCATTTCCATCAGAGCAGTTAATCCGACCCTATGGTGTCCTGCCTTCAAAAAATACCGAACACTAAACGAGTTCAGCTTCTTGTCTGACAGTCGGCCTTCCTCAAGTTTCAAAATTGCTTCAACGCGGAGCCAGAGTGGCGAACTTGCTTGCTAAAGTCGAAGCTGAAGCGGACGCTGAAGCGAAAGCGAGAACTCGTTTAGTGGTACTATCAGCCAGGGAGTCTTACACAATGGCAGAAGTGGCGGAGTTTGTCGCTCAAAAAAGAGTTAGACTGCAAGCTGAAGCAAGCAGTCTTCGGCTTGTGGAAAACATGCTTCAGGAGGGTTTAAGCGTGGAACAAATCGAAGGCAGGCTTGCGAACACGAAAGCTGATGAGGAAATTCCAGGTCATGTCGAGGGATCTTCAAGTCTGCAACCTCGAGGAAGACTCGATGTAACACCTCAAAAACTTGTCCAGAGACCTCCTTTGGCGCAAGACCAAGGTCAACGTAGGATAGCCAGTCAGTTCTTGGTGCCTCAGGCAAGCTGCAAGAGATGTATCAGCATGAGCCCCACAGCAGTGACAATGGGTCAGGCATAGGAATTTTCAATCCCATTTTCGGGGATCTAGCAAATGTCCCAGCTCTTGAGATTCCCATGTCCCAACGAACAGCTACTACAGGACTGGCTGATGAACCCTCTGGCAGTATCACTGACATTGGCGAGGCATATGCACGCCTGAGACTACTGCAAGAGTCTCTTAGCCATTACAACAACCCAAATTGGTGGAACAAGCGCAATCAGTTTCTGCGTAGTGGTGAGGACGTGATAGTTGAGCCGATGCAAACCCGCTCCCCTAAGACATTAGCCACCGTAATTGGTCGCCAGTGGGAGGAGTACAAGAACGGAATGAGCACAATACTCAGACACTTCCTCGTACAGCTTCGAAGTATTGCATTTCAGCTCCACAGAGCGCTGGAAGACGACATCCGAAGCACAGACGACCCTGCCCATCAAATCCTTCAAGGAGCACGACCAATGTATGCGCAACTCGTTCAATCGCCTGAGACGTCACGCTGGGTAGTCGAAGACTGTGGAAAAGCTGCTAATGCATTACACGCAACTGCACAAACACGTTCTGGAGAGCATAAAGACCTGTGGCTTCAATTCAAGAGCGCGGGTATAGATATGCTGCCGCCGGCCTTGCGCCCACCAGAAAATGTTCTCAAGCTACTCTACATCCCGTTGCCACGATTGACGACTCCGGCACCTGGCTTCCCAGACCTCGAGCGACAGCATCCCTGGGGCAAATATGGGGATGATAATGCGCCCGCGCATGATTTCGACAAGCGGAACTCTTCCCCCACGGAACCGAAATCCGGCGGTATGCCAGACGAGGCAGAGGAAGACGCATATTCCTATTCCTCGTCCTCCGCAAACTTCGAGCCAGATGTTCGGCCAAGGCGATTCGAATTCGATTCTGCACGACCTCGGGAAGGTACGTCTATGTTGATTCGGATGATGAAGAGTACAGCATCGAGTTTCGACGAACCTACGGAGCTCAATGCAAGCGATGTCAGAGATTGGGTCATACTACCCGGCAACATCAGCGTTGGGACCGGATTGCACCGGTGGGCTCATTGTAGCTGCGGATGTTGATATCTGGTTTGAGTCGGTTGTTCGCCAGCATCGTGTCGGAAGATGTACAGGGAGGCTTCTTTGTTGGTACGGCAGAGCACCGGTGGGCTCACCATAACTGTTCAATATCAGCGACGGGGCTGTGGGAGGCAAGTCCAGATATGTTCCTGAGCATCGGATCCGGGAATGTACACCCATCAAGCCGTTCGATTCGAGGTAGTCCTGGCCACAATTGGAAATGGGACATCACAGTGTTAGAACTACGTCTCACAGCCCAATCAAGCTCTGCTCCAACAGATTCCCAGCATCCCCTAAACCCCCAATGAGAGGTCCCTCACAGTCCCATCCCTGAAATTCTCGAGTGAGTGCGTAAATCGAGCCCTTTTGAGCCTTCGAGACAGCCTCAATGCTCTCCTCCGCAGCTTAATTTTTTCCCATCTCACCGTTCCCAACACCATCTCTAGCAGCGTCCTTTTTCCGCCTTTTCTTCACCTCAACGGCAACGAGTCTGGAAAAAGTCCCTCCCATCTTCTCCTTCCTGTTCATTCTACTCCGCTCTTCTCACTCTCTTTTGAACGCACGCGGATACTAATGCACCTCACCACGGTTGGGCGAGTACATGGCAGGCAGCCTTGAGACGATGCGTGGTCTAAATCCCTTGAGTCAATGTGTGTATCCATCAAATCAAATAAACCAAATCACGACCCTCGTTTGACTTGCTTGTCTGATCATAGAGGTTTGGTTCGATTTGATTCGACTCGTTTGTCAATTAGAGTCAAACATTTGTCAAGAGGGCTGTTAAGGATTTTGTCTCCAAACAGAGAGTCCGCCAAGACCTTTATCTTTTTCATCAAAATGTTATACGCGCCAGGCATGCCAAGCGCGTGCCCTGCGCACGTGATGAAGGCCAAGAGGACTCTGATGGAATCTGCGTCATTCTATGTAACTTCTACGTTGTTCTGCGCATCAAAGCCCTTTGATGCGCTTTGAATGGCGTTTAACGTAGGTGACCCACTTGTGCAGCATACCCACTTGTGCAGCACCAAATTGCTTGGCACTGCCCTCGCCGGCGCTGTTACAGCGAATTCAGCTCATTATGAACAATTTCGAAGCTATAGATACTGCCTAAATAGGAAATGGAATAGAGATCTATGGTGTTGTTCCTCATTCAAATACATCCTCTTCGATCCGTAGCAGATAATTGCATTTTGCTCTTGATCTTGGAGGCAGTCGTTGCTTCTCTTCTACCCCCCCTATAGCTGCTCTTGCTAATTGACGTAGGGCCTTGTTTTGTTGTTGTTCAGCCTTCTTAGCAGCTATAGCAGCCTTCTTCTCAAGCGCTTGAGCCTTTTTGGCCTCCTTTTGTGCCTCTTTTTCTGCTGCTTGTGCCCTGAGTTCGTCTGCAGTCGTTTTGGATAGACATCTACCCTCCGTAGGTAGCTGTTTGTTTGCTCTTTTGGTCGTACGAGCACTGGCAACTAATTCAGCATTGGTTTTAAGCAGAATAGCATTTTCGGCGTTAAGAGCTTCTATCTTATCAAGTAGAATTCGCTTGCCAGGCATATCTTCTACTGACGTTTCAATAAATCGCTGAATTCGACGTATAGTGCTAATTTCTTGATCTGTTTGTTCCAGTACTTTATTTGAATCTGGATCAGAAGCGACATCCGGTCGTGTATGAGCTATTTTATTATAAATGCACTGCGGATCGTACGGAATAAGACCTGTTGCTTTGTACCCTGCATCGATATTTTCTGAATTCAGAGCTGCGGCTCTAGCCCTTTGATAAAAGAGTAGAAAATCAGGTTTTTCGACGTACGTTCCGTTGAATCGGCCATGAGCTTCAACTTCTGCTGAATACCAACGTTGAGGAGGGCCAAAACAAGCCACATCTAATAGTTGAAGATAGTGAGTAGTATAAGGAAGTAGGATAAGCAAGATAATGCTGTGTAAGTCGCAAAATTCGATAAAATCAATCGTATAATGAGATTCGTGGCCATCAACAATAAGTAAGCGTTTCGTAGTCAAATCTAATGGCTTTGTTTGAGGATCGAAATGCTCTGTTAACCAGTGCATAGCAAGGATATTATCAGTCCACCCTTTTTCGCTTGTAGCTATCTTCGTATCAGGATCCTTGATATTATCCCACCAAATAGCTTGCTGGCGTTTGCCCTTCAAGATGATGAATAGGGGAATAGCCTCACTGTCATTGCCTCCTCGTACGCATTTAATAACAGATATCCACTCTCTGTTACCATCTTGACGTATGAACGCTTGTTTCTGCTGAATAGGGATAAGAACGTGAGTCCTTTGCATTACCCCTATCATAAAGCCCTTCTCATCCATATTGTAAATATCTTCATCTCTAATTAAATGCTCCGTTCGAATTCGATGAAATAGAGTAAACCATTGCCTTGCAATTGACTCTTTCGTAGCAGAAACTCGATAACGATCAATAGGCTGTGAGAGAGCTATTCGAAGCTGTGGATTTCGCCGTAGCAGTGCTTGGTGCCAATGATATCCTAGAGTCATTCGAGAGCCTTTTCAATAGAGGATATCTAACGTAAATTGACGAAGATGCTTGAATTGAAGCGGAAGACCCCAGTCATTGTATTTAAGCGTGTATTTGATCAAAGTAGCTTCTTCTGCTGGTGTGAGCAGTTGTTGCTCTTGATTTGCTTGCTCTTTTGGCCTTGTAAGACCTCGTCGACGTCGAGAAACAGAGGAGGAATGTACGTTGCAGATAGTTGCTGCTTTTCGTAGACTCAATGAAGGATTCTCGGCAAGTAATTTGACAGCTGCGTCAACGCGCTCAGGACTTGATAAATTAACATATTTATCAGCCATTATGAGTATTAATAGAAAGAGAGAGTGCTCAGCCTCAATTTGAACTTGGTTTGAAGAGATTTGGCCTTGTGGTCGCGAAATGGTGGCTGTTCGAAGTTGTATCTCAAAATGCGGTGTAGGAATTTGGTGCTGCACAAGTGGGTATGCTGCACAAGTGGGTCACCTACGTTAGTCTCTCTTTTCTAGATAGATTAGAGTTCTCGGTGCTTAATAAGTCATTTCACTGACCCCCTACTGTTCTCTTGCCCTTGCACTCCCCTGAGATCCCAACAAAAAAAATCCCCATGAATATTTCACGATAAAATACTTTTCTGTCAAGACTTCCATTTCAAGGTCAAGCCTTGATTTTGGTTATTTGCCAAGCATTTGATTGGGTTCATTTGACTCAATTTGATTCATAGTATGGACACATTGCCTCGAGAGTGAGATGCTGTCCAGTGCAGGGAATCTCAACTCAACCCGGGAGAGATGGGCCTGCGGAGAGGCCCTCCGTTTCCTAGCTCCCAGCACCGAGCGAGTGTGGGATTCACGTCACTTTTATTAAGAGTGAGTATTTGTCGACTGTCCCGCCTGCTTTTCCTGTCCGTTGATTCTACTACGAAGCCTACCATTTCTCTTCTCTTCTCTTCTCATCTCTTCTTGCACGGCTTCCTTCAAATTGGTGGAATGAGGCACGGTTGGTAGGGGCTGGTGGGCTCCGTTGTTGCTTGCTTCTATCCGGGGGCGGAGCACGGTAAATATCAAGCGAGCAGCCTAAGTGGAGGGATACGCTTCTTCGACTATTCCAAGGGGTACTAGTACTACTATCGTGATGGGGTCACACTGCAAGCCACAAGAAGGGGTGGAAGAGCCGTGGCCTTGGCATGGTGCTTTCTGTTTTAAAGAAGTGCTTGGAGGACACTTCTGCCCGTCTTCTACTATGGACTAAACGCTCGGGTGTGTCGACCTGAAGGCCATCAAGACCATAGCATCATCAGTACTCCATACGGAGTACATAGATCGATCAGGAAACTCTGAAGCCATCTTCCTTCACCTTCCTTTCCTCCCCTTCCACAGTTATTCTTTCTTTTAGCCTTTATAATAGTCTAACTATCTTTTAGCGTTATATTA